CCCAACTAATAAAAACACACTGTTTATCGTCGCATCGCCATTTCTTTTAATCTCATCGAATTTTTCGTTCAATTGCTGCTATTCAAGTAACATTCTTCAATACCTCTGACGAACGCAATAGAGAGCAAGCGTCAAAGACCAGTTCGGTGTAAGAGTTCAGCAAAAAAATGCCGACTCAAATACTTGATTTATAAAAATCTACATGAAAGTGGTTTTCCTGGATTCAGAATCGTTGGTGAATAGACATCAGAAATGAAGTTTTCCGCAATAATATGACTGATTAACGTGTTGTGGTTATGGCTGAATGCAAGAGTGCAAAATGAATCGCCATTGCAAATGCGATTGATTTGATCCTTTCTAACAACAACAACATTTGCCATTCACTATCGCTCACTTAATTTATTTCGTTTCTTTTTGATATCTCATGACAAGATAATCATGATAACAATAATCAAGATAATAACAACCATAACTGCAAAAATGGTGATAACCTATTTGTGTATGCAGTGATTATGCTTATTGCTCATATTTGCCATCACATGCCATATGGTCTCACCTCAACGAATTGTTGTGTCATTTTATTTGAGTGTGAGTGATCTTCTTGAATCATTCAGTGCTTCCTTTATCGACTGCGTTCTGAAGGCTATCATGTTGGATGAGCCATCTGCGAATTCATCTAATAGTGTTTTCAACTAACGGATATTATGAAATTTATTAATGAATTGTTTTTTTTGCTAATATGATGATATTTTGATCATAAATCGTAAAACCAACGATTTTCTGAACATTTAGCGATGAGTCGGCAGAACAACGAATGATTCGACATGAAATTCTTTCGTGAATTATTTTTGTTTATCACGTCACCCGTCAAGTACTGTATGATGATGTGTCAACTGCACAGAACTGAATCGAGATTTAAATGAACACCACTTAATTGATGTAGAAATGGAGATCATCTGTTACAATAGGCCGTTATTTAGTTGGGTTGATCCAGTTGTTTTGCTTATGTCCATTTATATGACCAAACAGGAATAATAAACTTACAATTGATAGTGGAAAAGTTTAGAGGGTTTGCGATGCGCCTAATGAATTGATGTAATGAAACACGATGAGTTGAGCTGATGCAGTGACTTTATTTGAGGATGTATCATCAGCAACGTGGCAATTTTCCGCACAGTCGTTCTCACCTCGATCAGTAGTCTCAATAAACGGCGGTACAAAAGCAGATGATGGTCTTTTAAAGGTTCGTACTGATCTTTCACCTCTGTCCAGAACCATATCACGATCCAATGCTGCCGTTCAAACTGCACATATCACTGAGGTATGTGGTAAATCACAATGCAATTCGCACTCATCACTTTACTAACTATCGCAGTCTTTTCTCATATGCATCCCAATC